GGAGGGGAGGGTACAGAAGAGGGGCAGGAGAGGGTACGCAGGTGGAGGCAGGGGAGGGAATGGAGGAGGTGGTGAGGGTATGGAGGAGGAGGAGGGGAGGGTACAGAAGAGGGGCAGGAGAGGGGAGGGAATGGAGGAGGTGGTGAGGGTATGGAGGAGGAGGAGGGGAGGGTACAGAAGAGGGGCAGGAGAGGGTACGCAGGTGGAGGGAGGGGAGGGAATGGAGGAGGTGGTGAGGGTATGGAGGAGGAGGGGAGGGTACAGAAGAGGGGCAGGAGAGGGTACGCAGGTGGAGGGAGGGGAGAGAATGGAGGAGGTGGTGAGGGTATGGAGGAGGAGGAGGGGAGGGTACAGAAGAGGGGCAGGAGAAGGTACGCAGGTGGAGGGAGGGGAGGGAATGGAGGAGGTGGTGAGGGTATGGAGGAGGAGGAGGGGAGGGTACAGAAGAGGGGCAGGAGAGGGGAGGGAATGGAGGAGGTGGTGAGGGTATGGAGGAGGAGGAGGGGAGGGTACAGAAGAGGGGCAGGAGAGGGTACGCAGGTGGAGGGAGGGGAGGGAATGGAGGAGGTGGTGAGGGTATGGAGGAGGAGGGGAGGGTACAGAAGAGGGGCAGGAGAGGGTACGCAGGTGGAGGGAGGGGAGAGAATGGAGGAGGTGGTGAGGGTATGGAGGAGGAGGAGGGGAGGGTACAGAAGAGGGGCAGGAGAAGGTACGCAGGTGGAGGGAGGGGAGGGAATGGAGGAGGTGGTGAGGGTATGGAGGAGGAGGAGGGGAGGGTACAGAAGAGGGGCAGGAGAGGGTACGCAGGTGGAGGGAGGGGAGGGAATGGAGGAGGTGGTGAGGGTATGGAGGAGGCTGAGGGGAGGGTACGGAGGAGGAGGTGCGAAGGAGGAAGTGAACACGGAAGAGCAGGAGGGTGCAGAACCAGTACGTGAGGAGAGGGGTCTATATTTGTACATGTATAAATACTTCTTTCTCAAATTGTTTAGCACGGTATATTGCAAAATCGAAATACCTCAAGAGCTACGCTCTAATTTCGTATTATAGAGATTTGTAAACCTGTTTCATTTTTGTGCGATAATTACGCTTACTGCATACACGTGGCTGACTTTAGCTCAAATTCTGGAGGCAAAAAGAGTCAAATTTTTTATATGGACGAATCAAATGTTTGTTGCGGGGGAATTTTTCACCTCGAAGAAAGGCAAATTCGATGGGTGCCGATATTTTTTAGAGCGCAGCTCTTAGGGGCCCGTTCCCGGCTTGAGCGGCGTCGCCGTCGGCGTCGCCGTTGGCGTCGCCGTCGCCGTCGGCGTCGGCGTAACCAAGGTCATCCCAAGGTCACGTGACCCCTCCCAAGGTCATCTCAAGGTCATGTGACCCCCTGAAGGTCACGTGACCCCTCGAGGTCACGTGACCCCTTCCAAGGTCATCTCAAGGTCACGTGACCCCAAGATGACCCCACGTGACCCTTTGAAGGTCACGTGACCCCCAAGTCACGTGACCCCCAAGGTCACGTGACCCCTTCCAAGGTCATCTGAAGGTCACGTGACCCCACGTGACCCCCAGGTCACGTGACTCCCAAGGTCACGTGGGGGTCACCTTTGGGGTCACGTGGCCTTGAGGTCACCCCCAGGTCACGCCTCCCCGAGGTCACGTGACCCCCTCCCCGAAGTCACGTGACACCCCCCCGGAGCATATTAAAGAATGAGGGGAGGAGGAGGAGAAGGGGGAGGGGTCTACCCTCCCCTCAGTACCCTTCACTCCTCCTCCTCAAGAGCTGCGCTCCAATTCGGCGTTACAGGGATTTGTAAACGGCTTTCACTTTTTTTATTCTCAAGTTATGAAGCGGAGAAGCGGCAGCGGCGGAAGGAACGTTTTTTCCAACTGTCGATGGTCACATGTTTAACTCACTCTCGTCCTTTAGTGTTTGCTTTTATGTTATTTTCAATTTAATCAATTACTCCGGGGACACTATGAAGAGGTCGTAATGTAATTAAATATTTTAAGACGGCGTACGTTTTTTTATAGAGAAGTCGCCAAACTCATGACCCAGGCCGATTTTTGATGAACTTGAGGCGTTGTTATCTGGAACTTCCTTAAGTTATATTTATAATTTTAATGTCCACGGAAAGCTCTTAGGTGCTCTTTATAAATATATTAGAATGATTTAGTTTTATGCATTATCTCTTGCAGTATAATTGCATAAAAATAATGAATCCGCTGGAAGTATCAAATAATAAAAAAAATATATTTATCTTTCATGTTTTTGCTGCGTTTTTGTAGCGAAGAACGTTTTCCTCGTGAAGGGAGCAAGAGAGAGAGTGAATAGGCGCGCTTTTCGACACTGCATCAAAGCATGATCGCGTTGAACTTGCTCGTGTATGTCGGCTGGTGCTCGCGTTGGCGCACATTGCAATTGAAGGAAAACATCGAGCGCCGATGGCGTCTGACCTCTCACGTATATACGTATGAACTTAATGGATGTTTCTGAATTAGAGCGGAACAAACGTGTGGCTGTGGAAAGATATCGTGACTCGCGGAAAATACGTAACTCGGTTTCACACTTTGCATATGTTGACGGCTTAGCTCAGTTTGAGATGTTTAGCCGGCCGACGGCTCCGCGTCCTGCTCGTCAGCTTGCTTTCTGTTGTAATTTAGTCTCGCTGCAAAGCTGTTTAGGGCTAGGGTTCGATGGATTTTTTGTGTGCGTGACCAAAAACTCTACGCTTGCTCAGCCTCACGCGCTCCACGCGCAGGTCTTCCCGATGGTGCGTATGTCTCTTTAGTTTCCTTGTCTCAAGGTTTTCTTTATTAATTATGATCGCACCCCAACTCGCCTGCGTTTTGACACTTATTTCAGTGTCTAGTTCCCTTCGGCTCCACGGGGCGGGACTTTGTCCCGTGCTAAACAGCTTCACTGGTCATCCACTTTCACGGAGTAGAATGACTCATGATCTTTTCTCTTGTTCTTTTCATGCGTATTTTAGCATTGTACATGTGTCGTAATGTCTGGGCAGCGCAAGCATCTCATGCTCGCGCCCAATGAACTTTTGCAAGAAACAATTAAATCTATCTCCATCAGCCGAACGTCCCAGATCCGTTTTCTCTTCACGCGCGGGTAGGGGGAAAGCGTTCCGGAATAGAAGCCAACGTATGACTGTCGCTGGAAAAGCCCGGCCTAACAATACCCTCGACACGCTCTTGTCCTCTGATCTCAAGTGGGCACATTCACAAAGTCTGCACACTCTGATTTTCTTCGACGGGATCGTCATTGCCGCGACGTACACCGAGGAACGAAACCCATCACATTCTCAGTTCGGTGTGCGTCGGAGGATTACCAACTATTTCACGTTACTGCAGAATCCAGAATGTAAGGCAATATGGCCATACCGGTGAAACGAAAACCGCGTGGAAGAACAACCGGTGTGATTTCCGCAGTCGCTCACACAGCAAAGCCCTATCACAGCAATAGGCGACGCCAGACCCTTTTCTTTCGCCACCCAGCCGCCCTGAATGCCCTCTGCGTCTGCTCGCGAGCGTACGGAGAAAACACAAATGTGCAGTGTAACGTGAAAAAAAAAATGATTTTGCTGACACGTGACCCGTGTCATCGAACACTCGATTACAAATCTCGTTGATGTTTACGTTTTCCTTCTTTACGTGTTTTTTTCTTGTGACTAGGCTTCAAACAAATTACGTGATGCCCTCTCCATGTCTGTAACCTTTTTGTATTATCCTAGTACGCTTCCATCTTCTTGGACCTTGGATCTGCATGGCCACTTGGGATCTGTTTGGGACCGAAGGTTGTTGTGGCGTGCAATACGTCGCGAATATAAGACAAGCGGACGGTTTGGGCACAGATTATGTTTTTCTTTTTTTTTCAATTATTATTGTGTGCGCGGAGGCCTGAATTGTGGTGGATGCCACGGCGAGCTTGGGAGGGACGACAGCAACGAGGGCGTTGGGATGCGGAATAAAATTCGAACCGAGTAGTCTTAGTTGCAGTGTTGTGTTGTATCGGTCAAACTTTGTCGCAGTGCCTGCACGGCAAATGGAATGCCGTGTGTATTATGTGCTATTATTTAAGTGTCACCTCAAATTCAAAGTTTTTTTCTACATAAAACAGTTGTTCATTTCACTTTCACCGCCTCGGTCTCGTTCCTGTCGCCTCAGAGTAAATCCACCACTATGAGGTTGGCACATCCCCCGAGGGATTTACAGATATATTTTAAAAACTCCAAAGACGCAAATGCTTGAAAAGGTTGCCTTATTTTTTATCAAAATACGAACACGCATTTTATTATATTGGGGTTTAATAGAGGCCATACGAATGAGTAATAACATTTATCAAGTATGATTCCTCTTAAAAATTGTTTTCTTCGAAAACCTTAAAAAATAGTTAGTTTTAAAAACATTAGTTTTAGACTTGCAACTTTTTCAATTTTCGCCATTATTAAGTTAGAATACTGCAGGAAATTACTCGCACAACTGAATGATATGAATATGTTTACAAAGCTCCTTTGGGGTTTCCCGGCATATGATAATTATAACTTAAGAAGTTGGCAGATATCGACCTGTCAATGTTCACACAAAATAGACCCGAAAGCTAAGTTTGGCGGCTTTAATAAAACAATAGAACGCCTAAAATATAATAATATTAAACCACTTTCAGTGTCCGCATTGTTCTGAACAAAATAAAATAACCTAGATGCAACAGCCATGAGAGAAGACGTCAGTGTAACATGCTACCCTTGAAAGTCGGGAAAAAAGCTAATTTCCATCGCGGCCATTTTTCTGGTCCATAATAGGAGAACCAAAAGTTAATCGAACCAGCGGTTTTCACTTTTCTTCTAGGTAGAACTTTTAACACAACATATATGTTTTTTTACAGAACACTTGAAATCTGACTTTTTCTTCCTGCACGATTTGAGATGAAATCGCGCATGTATTGATTGCTAGGTCACTCCGAATACTGAAATAATTGCTTTGCTGCCTCTTACAGATGAGCCCGTTATTCCAGGGACGTGAGGATGGAGCTTCTTGCATAACGCTGTCATCTTCAGTCCCACGCCCGGAAGTTTGCCAGGTGCTTGGAAGGCTTTCTTCGACTTCACTTTGTAACATTCTTCCGTCTGACGTCTGAAAATATTCGAACGTTTATGAGCATCAATGCCAAAAATGAGTATACACAACCCACATTATACTTATGAGTGGTCTAACGATTCATAATCAAATTATTTTATTATTATTAACAAAGTCAAAAAGAAAATGTGCCGCGTATTTTGAAATCAGCTGCGTTTCTCTTTGCCAGTATTTCTGAGCCAGGGGGACACGCAACACGGAATTTTTGTCCCAAATGTTTCCGTGAAATGAAGGTTAATTTAAGCATACTCTGTTGCCACTGGTGGATGTTCGCACGATTGTTTATTATAAAAAATAGTGCGAGTGCAGGCGAGCTAGTGAAAATTGATGACAATGAAAATCCTGAGACTGTGCTACACAAAAATGAAGTGACTTTTGAGTCAAAGGAAAGTACAACATAGGAGTAGGACCCTGCATGTACATAGGTGTCTACGACGGCCCGTCCCCGGATGCAACCATGTGATCGCTTGATAAGGACATGTGATTGTCTACTCACGCTCGTTGCGCGCATGTAGAAGTCGTAAGAGGTTACGCCCCCGTCGTCCAGCCAGTGGAGCTGAACGACGAGCATCAGGCTGCAAATCGAGAGGGCTTCGATACGGTTTGCTTAGTAATAGGGATAAATTTTTATTTTTTAATTGATATCTTATCAGTACACTTACAAATGCTTATGTTAGTGACTTATGTTGTGATGGCAACCGTGTGTCAGTTCTTTATAAATTTTTCGCAACGTTAGTGTCATCTAATGAACACAAGCCCTATAACATATTCCTCTTTAAAATGATATTCTGTGATGCTACGTATACATCTTTCGAAAAAACGCTCCTAGGCCGCCGCTATTTTGGTGATGCTGATGTGGCTGGTGTGACTCTTGCGCCCTCTATCAGCTAGAAAGTTTCTGCCACTCTCTGGGACTGTGAAGAGCCGCTCAGCGCGGTTTTTAGCTACCTTTTTGCGGTTTTCCATTCGACGTTTTCTAGTCCCTTTTAAACATTTCCACTTAATCTTTTTTTTTATGCGTGCTGCCTACCCTTTTTGTGTTATCTTCCATTGTGAGAAATAGGGCTGGTAAGTGCCTGCCATTGAAGCTTTTCTGCTCGACATTCACGGGAAACGAAAGAGGTGAAAAACGTCGAACGGCCCTCGACGCGATTTTGCGAACATTGTTCTCCCCCCTCCAAGAGATAATCCGCGTAGAATCCTGTCATCTCTGAAAATAGTTGTCCGGGTTTGGGGTGGGAAACGGGTCAGTCGCGTTCGTTCCTTTGCCTTGGTGTTGTGAAAAAAAGGAAGCTTTCCCAAAACGTGTTACAAAACGAAGTCATCTTGGATTCCGTCGGATCGTCAAGATGTGACTGTCATCGACTGTGACTGTGTTATTTGAGATCTTTCTCAAATAAATTATTTTCAGACAACGCTGGATCGTGTGGTAAGTACGATATATTGTTCGAATGTTAACACTTGCTTAGACGTATGTCCGTGTTTTCTCCATCGGTAAACACGTTATTTTTGAGCCTCAAAAAATGCATGCCTTTCGGCTATCTTCTGTCGTAAATTATTTTTGACAGCTAAGCGTATTGTCCTTTGACAAGCGGCTAATCACGCGGCGCCGTCAAAAGTTATCGTAAAAACACAAGCAAAAACTAGAACTATACATTCCAGTCGAATTCGTTCTGTCGCGCGCCCACCCAACAAAAATAGTTTATAGGTTTTTTATTTTTATTTTTTATTTTTTTCAAATAGTACAATTTTTCTTAATAATTTCGGGAAAATACATGCACCATGAAACACAAGATACAGCGGGAAAAGACGAGAATTTAGCTGCAAGCAGTGTTTAAAAGTGCGCCTACTCAGGCTGCTCCTATCGAAATCACAGTCCACTTGGTTAGGGTTAACAGGGACGCCGGTGAGAGTCTAGCCTCAAACCCAGTAACTGTGGGCTCGAAAATGGTTGGCTGCCCCTGGGGTCGAGTGTTTCTTGGAAAGGTGTATACATTGGTTGTGAAATGAACTCATTTTTTTTTCTGTGCTAATGTAGTGAAGGATATCTGGCGCGCCAAAATAGATGTTTGAAGAACAATTTCGACCAACTGGGGATTTCATGACGCGTTGTTGACATACCAAAAGTCGCGTGTAACCGAAATCTCGGTTGCACGGCTCCTTTTTCCGCTGTAAGCCTCTATCAGATTACGGACACCTCGGCCGGGAATTAAACCAGCCACCTGGAGTACCCGAGACCGGCGCTTTGTTTCGGAGCCATCGAGGTGGCAAAGCATTTGAAATAGCTTCTAGGGATATACATATTTGTTCCATGCATTTATATTGACCGTCCCGATTGTTGATTTCCTGTTAAGACAATAGGCAGCCTCGTTCGCGTCTAAACGAAATGTAAACCTTCGCCCCTTTGCGTACAACGATTGTAACGTTTTACTGTCTAGCATTTATTGATGTTGTATGCCCAAAACAACTTCTTGGGGATTCCTTTGACCTCCCTTCCCCGATGGCTGTGATAACGGGCGCGGGTCGGAACGTTCGACCTCCTTCCCTGTCTGCTCCGACTGTTTCGAAAAGCGAAGTGCCCCCTTTCACTCTTTTCCGGATGCGAATGACTCGTAACAGGGGAGGAGGTTTCGTCTCTTCTTTTCCCGCTTTCGGGAGGGGGACACGTCCGGCGACATCGAAAGGGGAAGGGTTTCGGTGACCTCCCCGATACTTCCTTGATCTTTTGCTTTCCGGAACGCCGTGTCTTAGCTTACCGGCGCAGGGGGGAATTTGGCATGGCGACATAGCTGAGTGTATTTAAGAGTGTCCATTGAACGCTCTTGGACTCTGCCCTTACCCGTGTCCTTTCTTCCGCAATTGAGGAGGAGATCAGACCGTGGCCCCCTAATCAGCTAACTTTAGAACTACGCGTATGAGGACAACCGATAACCATCACCCAACGTCGGGTGACCTAACCGAACGCCGAGTCAATGTTCGGCTGGAATTGGTGTTCTCCGGGGGGGGGGGGGGGGGGGCTATTTTGTTACCCCTCCGGCCTGCATGAACAACGCACGGTGCGTATGCCCAGCACAAAAGCCGAAAGGGGTCAAGCTCGCGTTCTCTGGCGACTGTTTTCGGGAGAGATCTGACACTAAGAATGAACGTCACCTCGTCTATTGTTAATATTTTTGCGTTAAGACGTGAGCATGCCCACAAAGCCTGTGGGCATGTCCACGGACCTTTTGTTTGGTAAACACTGAGGTGTGGAGACAACAAACTGGTCAGAGCACCCCTTATAATTCGATCTCCTCGCCAATATTCAAGAGTGAGACAAGGAAGTCCATCATTGGCATCGACGGAGGAATTTATCGAAACGACCCGCGGTAATCTCGACCTGTTCCCACATTTGCTAGTTTTGTGGTTGCATTTTTATTATTCTGGGCGACTGCACTTAATTTTATTTTACTTTTTTAATTGTTTCTAGATATTCGCCAAAACGTGAGTGGGCCTTCACTAACCAACGTATGTTGGCAATTCACCCAAGCGTATTTGTTGCACCCTTGTAGAGACGAAAATATATCTTATTTGAATTGAAATAAAAGTTTAATTTGGGCTTTATTTTACTTTGAATTTCAATATAATTGGTTTTGCAAAGGAACATGAGTACCGAAGCAACGTGATTCCTCGAAATCACATTCCTACATTCGTTTCTAGGGTTCATTTTATACGAGATGCCTATTTTTTTAACATTTCACATCATGTCAAATATGTTTGGGATAAGTAAAGTCAAGAAAGCTTAATTAACTTGCTACCAATTGTTACAAATAAGTCTGTATTTTCCGTGTGCTCTTGTTCTAACTGAGCTGTGGCCATAAGTGGGCAGGAGATTCATTTTACCACTTGAAGGGGCACTCAAGTGGTTTTGGGGGAAGCTACTTTTTGGTGCGATGGTGTTAAGGAAGTGTCAGTGAATGAGTATCTTCAGTTTTAGGAGGCAGAACCGCCTATTAATCACGCAGGAATAATATACGTGCGGATTCTTTTCTGTTCCTGCGCCGACCAATGAAATTATCGTATGTTTGAAAATTGTTGGCGCCCTTTGTAAAATTTCGCTAAAGAAACAATTTTCAGTTCGTTAAGATATGTTGTGCGTGATAATTTCACAAGACGTAAAATAGTCTAGTTTAGAACGCGCAATACCGCAATTATCGTTTCACAAACAAGGAAACACGTTTTCTCCTTGCCTTCCTCCGCGGGGGGTGAATTTCCCGTTCCCTCGGGATGCTTTGAAGCGCACCGTATCATGAACTCTTTCCCTCCGTGTTTTCGGGAAGTGCGTTCGTGGGCCCGTTCGCACACATGCCTCCATAGTGACCACAACGACTGGAACAACCGAAACTACCGTTGCAAAGGTCTGCAACCGTCGGTTGCCATAGCGACGGAAGGACGCACGCATGTGTCGTTTACGACGCAAGGAGTTGGAACGAGCCTAACTTTTCCCGCTGCGTTGGAAACAATTGCAGCGACAGACCAATCACAGGTCCAGGAGAACTGGTTGCGCGCGTTGCATGCCGGCCGTGCCGGTCGCGAGCCGGCTCCTTCTATCTGCAAACATGGCGTCGGTGGTGATCGTCGACGTGGACGGCGTGGTGAAAGCTCATCGTTCCGCGTAAAAGCCCTATATTTGACTGTGAATTGTCGTCCTCTGTCGCTATTATAACACAGCACGTACTAGAAGGGAAAATCCACCTACTCGTGCGACGATGTCGTGGCGGCACTCTCAAGACAGCAGAAACGCACGTGCCGTCGTGTTTGTTTACTTCGACTACAGTGGTGCTTTCTAAGCATTTTTTTCTTCGCACATTGACCGGAATTCTTATTTGGTGCATTTAATGCGTGTGCCCAAGTTCAAGGTATTACTGGCGCGTACCGTATAAAGGATGCGAATTTTCCCGCGTTTTCATCACCGGAGAAAAGTGATTAGTGTTAGCAGTCCCAAACGATCGCAGCGTCTCTATGATCACGAAATCATATTACTATGTTGCTATATCGCTGCTAAGTTTACATCGCCTTTTATAATCGTAGAAAAGGCTTGTGGCGATATTTGTACTATTGGCAAAGTCGTGTATTAGAGTCGTGATCGCCCGAGACGGCGGACTGAATCGTTTTCTTTTCGTTGTTTTTCATCCACTGTACCCTGCAAGTCTATCATGAAAAAAATAATAAAGCTTCAGACTATAGAAAACTGTCTGTCTATATTTTGTTACGGCATTGAGTGGCAGTGCGTCCCCTTTTTAGAGGCGCCGCTGAAACAGCTGACGGCGGCGTAGAAGCGGTCGCTGTGCTGACGACCCGCTGCGCTTCTTGCAGTGGTTGCAGGTGTGTGTACGCACGGCGCAGAGCAGTCGTTCCGGTCGCTCCCGTTGCAACGGACGCAGTCGTAGGTAACGCGCGCGTTGCACATGTGTGAACCAGCCTGCCGTCCTCCCGAGGCGAAAGTCAACGTGGCGACATCGTTTGACATCACGCACCAGAGGTTACGCTGCGATGCCAAATGTGGGTTTGGTTACAACTTGCCCCAACCGGAAATCAAAGAATACCCGAAAAGGTCTGCGTTTCGTCGTCCTCGAAACCCGAACACGATTCCGAAGCGCTGCTATCGTCCACATCGCACGTCGGAGTGGCGTCATAGAAATTCTTCCCCAGGTCGGCTGTCCGCCGAAGAACTTCAACCTCTTACGGCGTCAGGTCCTCGAGTGTAAAGAACTCCTCCATGATCGTAGCTCGAATAACAAAGAGGTTCGACCGGTGCGGCTACCTTGCAATCACTGTGCGACGGACCGTCGTCCAACGCCGTTGGCCCGAGATCGTTTTGATATCCGAGTGGTGACCAATGAAAGTGGTTTCGTTTTCGGATGGATCCGAGGTTTGGCGGCATTCAATTGCATTTTTATTAAAGACATAATCACCGTGTGACTATATTTTTTGGTTTTTAGGGATACGTAGGGTGTCTAGATTCAGTTGTCATCATCAAAACACGAACTCAAAAAACACTTGAGTGCCCCTTTAAGCTATGTCTGCAATTAGAGCGCTGTAGAATGAGAAGTTAGCGCTTAATGATATCTCTATCATAGCGCCATTAAATCACTCGTGTCTTTTAAAAACGCAATAATATAATCTGCTTCACCTTTACGTGGAAATATTATTTACCTCAGCAGTACATTTCATCGCGGTTAAGTTAATATTCGTGGGCTGATAACTACAGCCTGTAAAACTAATGTTTTTTATCATCCGTGTTTAGCAGGGTTATCGGAAGAGTGGAATCCCCGTCCTGCACCAACGGCATGCACGGAAACCACAGACACTTAAGAACGCTTTACCAACACTAGGGTTACTTTCTGTACTAACTGCACATTGATTGTAACGAATACAGTCAATTTACGAAGCCGATTGAAACTAACTGCATTTTCTATATACCAGAAACGTACTCTTTCCAATATGCTATTTAGTATCTCTAAATTCTAAATAGCTTCTGAGAAAATGATAACTAAAGCAGATGCTAAAGCATTAAAAAAAATTTTTAAACTCTCAGTGGCATAAAGTCACTGGTAAGCTTGAACTCGCTGTATATGAAACAGGGTATGTTGAGAATAATTGTTCCTACTGCTGAGAAGGAGATGGAGCGAGCTCCCACAGCTTTATTTACACAATAATAAGTTAATTTTAATCAGGCGAGAAATATCTCTCCAATCTACAGAGAGTAACAATTCCTGCCCTTTATTTCATACGTTCAGTGTTGCAAGAAGAGACTTTCAGTTTGAAGAAAAAGGTGAGAATCAAGATTAAAAGATTAACTGCAAAAATTCGCAAAAAAGATGTTCTGGCGTACCTTTACAGTTACTAGCAGCCAAACCTATTGGTTTGTTAAGCCAATTTTATGTCATATTAAAGTAAGAAAACAAATGGTGGACCTGAAGAGATATCAGCATTATCTATAATAATTTGAACAAACTAGAAGGCGAAGTACTGGACTTAGGTGTCCTTTTTCTTTGCATTTAACGCTGCCTTTCCTTTAACGATAATTGATATAAAACTGAGTCAAAATTTTTTTTTAATAACTATTTTTTCTCAGCTTCGCGCATCCCAAGCTCTCTATAGGCTGTTTTCAGATAAGTTCGGCCGACCATGCCCGGTTATAATTTAAAATTTTAGATAAATAAAAAAAAAATATATATATATATATATATATATATATATATATATATATATATATATATATATATATATATATATATATATATATAATATGGTTGATTCAATGCCGAGAAAAACAAAAACAAATTTTGTCTTTCGGAATCCTTTGATTTCATCTCGAAAAAAAAAATATTAAGCGGACTCAAACCGAAGCGGTTTTTACGGATTTGGCAAATTAGCCCATTTTGGGCAACTCCCCCAAAACAACTGCTGCGGCTACGGGTCCAGAAATATTTAATAACAAACTAAGCTTAGAAGAAATTGAGTCAAATTAATTAGCGTGGAGTATTGGCGCTGTTAGTTAGCAAAAACTAATCGCAAATACGGCACAATGCGCAATAATGCGGATGTTTTGTTTTTTCGCATCTATACCTGCTAGGATTTTCAAACGCTGCCAGCGTGTAGCCAAATATATATATTTTTAATCGCTGCGCTAAATATTGGTTTCCTGGTTAACAGTAAGAGAATAATAAACGCTGAAATGGCGCCATTTTACTAAATGCGGATTATTTTACAAGTCATATACAATATGTTTTAACTCTTCTATGATGTGTATGTACTAACTGAACCTTCAAAAGCACGTTGCCTCAGTTTCGTGACTTTGAAGTTGTACAGTGAGAAATCGGAGCAAACTGAGGCTACCGCAGTACCGCGAATAGGGCGTGTACATACCCTTAGTTGACATGTTAATTATTTTTACAGGACGTAAAAGTGCACCGGGGTTGTCAGAGGGAAACATTGACGGCACACGTACAGACGGTGATCTTAAAGGGATACTTCTGGTTGCGTTTCAGTACTAGATTTGAAAAAGAATGAGCATGGGCCAGAGGGATCCAAGGAGGTTATCATGTCCCATACTTCGCAGGACCTGCTTTCAATAGGCAGTGAGCAACGTGCTACTATGCAGATTCCCTGTGTACATCTCGTAAAGAAATGTGGTGGCTTGCTACGGCTTTACACCTGAGTCAGACCACTGACCCAACGAGTCGCTGCCCTCGCGCAGGGGGTGTCCACCAGCACCCGAGACCACCGGCTGCCTGGTCAAATAAACTGCTCTCTCTCTCTTTTGTTTTCTCTTTTTTTTTTGGGAGTGTTCAAATTTGGAATAACGCTGTGCTATACGAGTTTAAGCTGTATTCCTACACCCCAACTTCTGTTCATTTAGCGCTGACTTTTGACTTTCTATGTTATACTCCCCGCGTGTAAAACGCGGTCGAAATGATGATTGTGTTTAAAATATCTCTATGCATTGTGTGACAAAAGGTCAGGGCTTAGTCGACGCGACGAGTCTACAGGGCCATTTAAACAACGCTTGAAGTGCAATGTCACGCCGTTCGTTCCCTTTTTGTGCGATGTCCTTCCCGGCTCAAGTAATCGAGTTCGGCGACTTCGCATCAACTTACCGGTTAAGTATACGCGTGTGTAGTTTAATGTATTCTAGCATTTGACTGCGCTCTGACCTGAGAATAAATGAAGTATAGATAGAAGGCTACATTTTGCGAAGTCTAGACAGAGACAAAAAATATTCAAGTGGCGTACACATTGTAGTAAAGTTCACATCTGTGCTAGTTGGTAGTCTAACATATTGAAGTATTTAGCGCAAAAAGTAGAGAGAAGAACAGGACAGAAAAGTCGCTCTTTTTTGTCCGGTTCTTCTTCTCCCTACGTTGTTCGCTAAATACCTTAAAATGCGTACACATTGTTTGAATATTTTTGATCCGCTGCCTTAATGTTTGTGATAGTTTTTGCACTTAAATATTATTTTAATATTTAAGCGAAGGCCGTTTTAGGACGTAGAGAAAAACACATCCTCTGAAACGTATGCCAATAAGAGGAACGTTACTTACCCTACAAAAACCCTCATGTGTTGCAGAGAACAGTGGGAGAAAAACCCTTCATTTTTGCCGCCAAGTGAAGGTGCCATGAGATATCCCGACGACGCCGAACATCGTTCCCATGTCACGTTTGGAACAACGTACGATGGAATCTCCCCATCGTGAGGCATTCCGAGTCTGTGAATGACAAATGCCGCTGAGGACTGAAGTGTGAGCAACACAAAATTCACTCTCTCTCAAGCAGATGCATCACGGAAAGAATGAGTTAGTAAATACCTTTCCACATTTCCAACGCACCAAAACATAGAAGTTTTATATATTCTAAACAAATAGTTATTGCTTTATTCTCATTAAGCATCAAGGCGGCTGTTGTTACGCTGTGGTGCATAGTTAAAATGTTATTTCTGTCACCTTATTTTTTTAAACTGTCGCATATATCTATATTTAACACATCGATATCAATCACGCGTCATTAAAACAAATCTGTTTCGCTTCAAATTTATCTCATCCATTTTCTGCTTACTCTTATCCTATATCACACAACGCTCCTGGCCGGTTCAATTCTCAGTGTTTGTGCGCTTGCGCGTGATTCGCTCGCGTTCCCAAGCTACGAATATGCGCGTGCTTGGCTGAGGAGTTCGAACGCTGTGCTGAGTACTCGTAAATATTGGAATGGTGACAGCGTACAAAAGCAGGCGACGTGCTTAAACTTGAACGTTTCTTAAACCCAAAACGAACGCTACAAAGGGGGGAAAACCACAAGACGCGTATAGGCCGACCCGTTGTTTCCAAACAAGCCCGCGCGAGGCGTGGGCGCTGCGCGTGCGCAGAAACCAGACTCGCGTGATGTGGAGCGTCTGCGCATGCGCGCTGCCAAGAGCAGTGCCACCGCAGCGCCGTGACGTCAGCTTCGAGTGTTGGTGTACGGAGCCTTTTCATGGCAGACGCCACCAGGCGGTGCTCCAGTCTTTGACCTGCCAGAGAACTTCCGGTTTACGAAAAGAATGATGAAAGCCCACCTTAGCACCGCTGCTCGAAATGTCGATGAAACGTTAAACCGCTAGTTCTCAAAACGAAAAAAAGAAAACGCCAAAAAGAGGAAACGCAGAGGCGTAATACCTGGTAAAAGTTTTCGAATATGCTTGTACACCAACTTGCGTCCTCCGATATGTTAAATTCTACAGTCGAAGTCCCTGGTTAAATATTCTCCGACTTTGTTGTCGTGTAGAAGTTATGCTTGCTTGCAATGGTAACGTGAGCAAGATCGACAGGCTTGCGAAAGACGGAGCAACCGGAAGTCGCTTGGAACGTAAGCGGCAGTTTATATTTGTAAACATCGAGAATAGTCTATAGTCATTAACACGATGAGAATGGTGGTCCCACCACTATTGGCAGATGCATCAACACTCGTCTCAGAGACCACTTTCTTAAAGTAAAATGAGTATCCAGTGACACTCTTCAGCCAATTTTGGACCAGAGCCGCATTTGTTCGAACTATGAGCCGAAGCTATCGGGAAATACAAGGACAGACTAGGGAAGATAAATAATTTAATCCTGTAGGATGGCCCGTGATAATTTGACGCTTGCTTCGCCTTCTCTATGGTTATCCAAGATAGAAATAAACTTTATGTGGCAGGTGTAAAGTATTCCCGCCCTTTTCTTCTTCGATTTTTTTTTTTACGAGTACATGAAGGGATAAAAACTTTGAGAATGGGGACGAAAACACAACTTCTTACATTTAGCTACAGGATAAAATACACAAAATATAATAATCATCCCTAAAGTTTTCAACGTTCTGGAAGGGGAAAAGAACGGCAATTAGTGAAGGAAAGTGAAATTTACTATAAATTTAAGAGTTCTAAAAAGCACAAGTATCATGACGAGGTATTAGTAATCTGGCCATTTTTGGTTTTAAGAGTTTGACTTCTGTCTCTCAGTGATTATAAAGGTGTAGAAATGTTCTTGTTGACGTTCCCCATGACTAAATAAAATAAATTTTGTCTTTTTCCCCCATCCTCTATGTTTTTATCCTTTAGTGTATTCGCATCTAATTCATCGACACTCTCGTTTTCAAGTAATATTTCTAAATCTTTCTTCCGTACTGATTCCTTTTCTTTCCCTTCTGATAACTGAGCAGTTCGCTTACATTCTTCTTTTTCTCATCTGCCTTAACAGACTCTTATTTCTCACAGGTTTTTTTTTTTTTTCTGAAGGATTTTCATGAGGCAGGGAATGAAAGGGCTTACGGCAATGATGGTGGCATCATTAAATGTCTGTTGCTTGCTTAAAAAACTAGCTCTTTTGTTCGTCCTTTTCCTACATGTTTTATTCTTCAGTGTTTTTTTCAAATCATCTTTATCAACCCGCTCTAACTTTATTTTTATTTTGACGTTTCGTTTTGATTGTCTACCATGATGTGCCTGCAGCTGGCTCATATAGGACATTTTGTTTTGGCTATTATTTTTATGTGGCGATATTTTTATTCAATATATTATAAATGTTATATTTTATATATATATAAGCTCGTGAAATATTGTATGTAGAATAGTTTATTAGATAAAATGATTGTCTTGACCTATTTATAATTGGTAAGTCCACAGATATAACTACGTGATTTTAAAATTTTATTCATAGGAGTCTGTCTTATAGCAATATCGACTATGAGACTCACCGGTGCATTAAATTCGTCCGTTAGGGCAGTTTCTACATACCGTTTCAATTAACCTAAAGGTGGGTTCTGCAATACTCAATTTCATATAAAAAACAAGTAGATAAAAAAATTAATATAAAAATACCACTTTTTATTCTTAGTTAATAATTGTTCTTATGCATCATTCACAAAACTCTGCTTTTAAGAATGCTTTACCAGTGAACAGAACTCTAAGATAATATTGCAGAAAGACTTACATGTGTCCCATTTCGTGGGCAGCGGTGGAAACCATGAAGTACGTATGAGCGTAATCTTCCACTATACCGAAACGTGATTCTTCTGTGCAGAGTCCGTTAAGGTATGCGAGACCTAAGCGAAAGAAAAAAAAGAACGAAAAAAAAAAACGCAGGTTTGTTTAAGTTTTTTTGCCAAGTCTCCGAGACAAAACATATTTCAGCGATCATCTTAGTGAGATGTAAGAAGAAATAGAGGGTGTTTTTTTGTTTTATTTACAGATTTGTTTAAAAAAATCTGTGAAAGCTACATTTACGCTCTCTGTGCAGGTGACTTATACTGCCAGGGGGCCAAATAAAAGTTAACGACTTTTATTTAGCGCTTGAGAAATACACCAGACAAAAACGCAGAGACAAGAATATAAAATACATCAATTAGTTCGCGAAGAAGGCTACCTATCCTGCTTTGCTTATACCATCACGAAGAAACAACGAAAGAAAAACTCTCTACTGGCAACCTGGTCTGGATTACAGCGCGCAGAAAGGGGATGGTTTGATCAAAATAATAATAATAATGTTGAGAATGTTTATACAGCCGGAAGTTAGTCAGCCTCAATGGTCTTCTGGTGTTTCAGCTGTAGAAAATAAATCTGGCCAGCGGAGTATAACCGCTAGTCTGGGGTATTTAACGTGCACCACGCAGTAGTGAAGCACGACCGCACGCCGGTACGATGCTCATCCACATCGAAGCGGGTAGGGGTGGAGATTGATTTGAGGACTCTTAGGTTCTGCAGCGCGAGCTTTCGCTCCACGTGCTGCAAGATGGTGTGCGTATGATAAAAAAAAAAAAAACATGCAAAAAAGGCCCTCCTTTTCTAACGATATAAAATAGGGTGGCGCGGCAACTTCTTTCCTATCCCGAACTCCACATAAAAACAGCAAAGTCCCGCCGCAGCTTTTGTAAATTCACAGTGGTGCACGTTACGATTTAAAGCATATCACAAGACCCAACATTTAAAAGAACGCTACAAGCAGTAGCGCGCCAAAATATTGAGAAAACGTACCTCCCCCATATTTCTCGGCAACAGTGGATCACTAAACATTTGGTCCTCTACTGCGCAGCGACGGAACTACCGAATATTCAGTTTGCGTTGGCGTAAAAGTGGTACCATTGCACATATCAGGTTCCATAGCCCACGTTCTATGGCAAAGACGACAGCCGCACTTGATACCTCATAAACTAATTTCAGTTTTTCCGCCACTTCTGAAATGCTTGCCTAACCCTTATAAAATGAGGCTTCGAAGTCTAAATATGCAACCAGTTCGATCTCTCTCTACTTTTGAGCTTGGATCCGGATGTATATTGTTCTTAAAAGCATTTTCACAAAAAGGCTCTTTATAAATTCTAAACAATAAAGGTGACATCGCGGAGGCTTGTTTAACGGCAAACAATACATTATTCCGCGCTGTTGTACGTCCGTTAATCTGGGTGGTACATCCGGTCTCTGGTACTTGAAGAAAACATATAATAAATTTGCACACATTTTCACGTTTTAATATTTTATACCATACACAGTGTTGCACGCGATATAAGGTGAGACCAAGGAAAGTGTTGTAAGCAATTATGTGCTTTTTTTTTTAATACGATACACAGTTCATGAGATGTTCTTACTCAATAAGTTGTCTTTTGCAAATTATGCGCATGCTTGTGCTTGAGTAGTCTCAAGGGCCCGAAAACAAGTCAAGCTGCCTACGGCAGCTTTTTATTTTCTTTTTGGTGCACCCATCATGATCGAAGGAAATAAATAAAGTTATTGTTAAAGTTATTATTAAAGTTAAAGGTCTGAAGCAATTCCACCTGATCCAGATACTCCTCACATAAATCTAATATACATTTTGCGAAGTAAATGGTTGTTACAGTACACCTTCCTTTAATGAATCAGGTCTGGTACTCTCCGATTATTTCACAAATAATTTCGGTAATATTCTGGCGAAAATTTGAATCAATTTTATATGATCCACTTTACTGACCGCTATTGCTCGATAGGTCTTTATAGTCTTGTAGCTTTTCATCATCACCGACACTTGGGATTAGCACAGTACGCTTTTATTGATGAATGAAGTTTTCAGTTTGTTTTGCGTGCTTTAAGTACCACTGGATGAAGGAACCCAACCAGGACGTTTTCGCAATTCCAATATATTTCCGCAGTCAAATCCTTGGGTCCTGGAGAGTGTTTAGTCGGAAAACGATCGATTGCGGGTGAAATTTAGGCCACGCCTAATGGCCCTTTTAGCCTCTCCTTTATCTCGTCATAAAGAATACGCATAACCGCCAGATACACTTGAAGCTTTGCGACATTCTCATGTCCCTTCCCCTGGAAAAGATTGGTGTAGCATTCAACGGATGCTCTCTAAATGACTTCGTAAACGCTACTCGAATGACCAATGCATCCTGTTTTTCTGTTCCACGTTTTCTTCTCTTTACATGTCCAGACTGAGACGTTAATGCTTTCTGGTGGGACGCTCATCCAAAGTATGTCTTTCGGCACAAGCGCGTGCAAAGTAACCTCTATAGACTTTTTTTTCGCGGTGGCCACCATGTTTACTTTTGATGTAGCTGAGTTGGGGCGATGTAGCAAATCACTTTATTTGCCGATGAAAAGGCGCAAGATATCTATGGGTTTGTGCCAATAGTTATACTTTTTCGTTGGCTATACGTTTTTATTGTTGTTATGCATAAAAAGTTTACTCTCGGTTTCGTCGGCCAACCCAACTACGTCTTATTTTACCACGACAATCGTCACATGAAAACGGTCTATATTTCTATGCTTTCTGTACGTGATATTGCCGCGCGCGCAGCTGGCCAAGTAGGCAGCGCGACCGTGGACTGCCGGTTGTCGTGCTTGCCTCCCGCGCGAAGAGCCACGGTTCGATTACTGGGAGTTACTCGTATTTTATTTATTCTTTCAGTTTAATGTTTTGGTGAATTCGAGAACATTGTTGCTTATTCTAAGTCCGAACGTTCTACGTGTCGAATTTTCCACGCCAATTATCCCAGAAGCCCACGCGTGTACATTAGGGGCTTCACGTGGCGAGCCAAAGCCAGTCTCACCCCAGCGCTCGATCCTGCTGTTTCGCCGACATCGAAGCCTGCGACGCTAGCCTTTCTCTGTTTTTGTTTTGGCACAATTTCGCTATTAGACGTTTAGTTTCTTCAGTTATTCGCCGCCTCATCATTTGTCATTCGTGACAATCTTGTTCTTTACTAACCTAATGTCCTTCACTAACCTTCCCCGATATTCGCATTTGAATATACGGACTGTCTCAAAATCTTCCAGAAAAAATTTATCGTCGATTTTCTTCCAGTAAACTAACCGACTGGAGCGCTCGAACGGTCGAAGTTTTAACGAACATTTTGAAGATTGTTTAATTTTTCAGGTGCGCTTCCGTCGCCCCCCTGTGTCATACTGATCAGTTTATCTACTGTTTCATCGTTAACCTCATCCTCCAGAATGCTGTTTTTAAACTTTCACACATCCCACTAAAACTTAAACTTTTTTTAAGTTGCCCACCAATAAAAAGGAAACTAAAGCGTGTTAAAAAAGGAAAACATATCGTATTTCTCATGTCCAGTCAATATTTCGATCGACACGTAAATTCTGTCAAGATGAGAACCACTCGTCGAATGGAAATGTGCAAAGCGCAAATTTGCACTGCCTCTTTGATTGTTCGCCACATCATGAATACAAAATATGATAGGATCGTGCACATTCGCCACCGTCATAGAGGAAAAAGAAGATTGCGGCTCCTTTCCTCCATAGTCGACCCTGAAGAAGTCGAACCGGTTTTGAAACGTTGGGCCCCTGATTTAGGCATTGGTGGTCGTCGTATTTTGATAATTATTTCCCCAGCCAGACAAACTTCTGTCTAATATTTACTTTTAAATATATGATGTCATTTGTTTTAAATATTTTGCGCAAGTATCATACTGCTCAATATTGATGACCCTAACAGTAGCTTCGTAAACGCAATTGAAGTCACCCAACAGTACAACTTTCTTTCACATTCTAAGTAAGGCAGAATACTCTCAAGAGACACTTCTCTATTTTTATTATCATTCGGCTCATACACGTTAATAATTCTATTATTTATTTACATTACTTACGATACAGTCACAAATAATTACATTATAACTGTCTGATAAAATGCTTCCCACACTTGTATTTCCCAATTTTCTTTAAAAAATATCAACTTCGTTTGTTCAATCTAGTAAATACAGGGAACACAGAATATTTCATTCGTGCATTAGCGTCACGTTATAATTTGTAATGTTTGGTTACCGGAAGATATAGGTGGATTAGGACGCGCTGCACTCAAAACACACACTCATGCTTTCCGGGTTCATCAAATATCAAGGCAAGTTTAATCTTTTTCAGGAGTGCAGTGTCTCATGGGCATTCTTTGATGAGAGGTTTTTTATGCGTTCCGCCTTTTTTGTGGGTGCGTGTAGGTCCAAAAGTTATTTGTGCTCTTGGTTTGCGAGAACCGTATTGTCGTAACTGAAGTAATAGCGAAGATAGGAGGTTTATCCTGCTCTTTACGGTATCTATTGACTGTTGTCTGAAGTAGTGACGCTACATGCGATCTGCTCTATCGCTTGGTACTAAGATAAAACAGCGCACAAAACGTCGGAGGAAGAGACAAGTAGTAGTACAAAAGAACGCTGACTCCTAACTGATTTATTTATAAAGAGGAGAAAAGGAGGTAAAAGAAGCCACGAAAATAGAACCCCACGTGAAGTGAAAAAAATACAAAACAAAAAGAAAGGGGAAGAAAATATGTACATGATTGAAAAAGAATAAAAAAAAGAAAATAATAAAAAAGAGAACTAAAGAAAGGGGAAAAGAGAAAAAAGTAGAAAACGACACTTCCACGCCTGGCCGGCCAAAGTTGCTGCGAATAGTCGGTGTCCAGAGAAGACACCTCCTTAGCACTCAGTAATAGGGACGGATGACTGACGCATTGGTGTCCTTTTTTCTGAATTTGAAAGGCCTCGTGGATCTCATGAGTAGTCCTGTCTTGAAATCTCCCAAGGACAGTTCTTTCACCAAAAGTCGCTGTGCACTGGCAGGACCG